CTTCTCTATTGATCCCCTTGTTCCTGCAACTCTTTCCTCAGCACAATGCCTTTTGGTTACTGCTCCTAATAAGCTAAGGACAGAAAAAGAAACTGACCAACCCTGAAAAGATTTCTAGTATGAACAAAAGTCGGTATGAAGCACTTTTGAGTACACAAGTTCTGTGTATTAGGGGAAAAGATTTATTCTAGAGGGATGTGGTTGCCAGGAGACCAGCCTCCAGATAAACAGGGTGTTAAAGCCATTTAGCACAATAGCCACTGGTCACATGTGGCTATTTAAATTTAAATTTTCATTAATTAAAAGGAAATAGAATTAAAAATTCAGTTTCTCAGTTGTATCAGCCATATTTCAAGGGCTCAAAATCCACCTATGGCTAGTGGCTATCTTACTGGACCGTGCAAAACATTTTCATTATCACAGAAAGCTCTAATGGAGAGAGCTGTATTAAACTACTCTGAGAGAAAGCAAGAAAGAGTATGTCATATTTCAGAAGAATTTTTATTAAAAATAGCTAAAATGATATGATTTGGCACTTGGAGGAATGAATTTGACACACAGCCAAAAAATACATCTTATTATTGGAGGATATCAGATCAACACTGCACATTCTTTTATTTATCCATTTAACAAATAGCTGTTAAAACTATGATATGTCTGTTTTGGGGAATGTTCAAAAAGATAAACACTCACTGCTCCTTGTCTCTCTTTCTATCTGGCTGCTCTCCCACACAGACACTAGTTTATGAAAGGTCACAGAACACAGTTCTGGTCAAAAAGATGTGAGGAGAAACATTCTGGGTGGCTTTCAGGAAAGTTCTCATTGTGCTTAAAACTGGACCCAAATAAGTGCTTTTCCTTGGCAAGCCTGGGCATCATTAGTGCTATGCTTACAGCTGCTGCAGCCAACTCAAGACCATGTATGGACAAGACCGAGGGAAAAACAATCTTTGAGGATAAAATGAGAAGAGGCTGAGTTTCTGCTGACACCATTAAGGTGCTGAATTAATCAGCCTGGAAATTAAATGTTTGTTTAAGATATCTTTGTGTCGTTTTCTGTTACTTGCAGCCAATTTCTTCCTAAATAATACACCTCTATGTACATATCTGGAGAAATCCAACATCTTTATGCCAAGTCAGAATTAAAACTAAGCTCTCTGACTTCATTATCATCTGCAGTTATCCCTCTACATGTTCTTTTTTAAGTTATAAACATGTTTTTTCCCTATTCTTCTTATGAAGAACTCCCCATTTGACAGTCAGAACGAAGCTGCTTTTATATACCCACTTCAACAATCATAATGGCTATCTTAGGACAACAATTACAGTGAACATGAACTTGATGTTTCTGGAACAACTTGACATAAAATTTTAGAAAATATCTCATTTTTAAAAGTAATTTTGAGGGGGTAGCATCTGGCAAAGTTAATTGTTTTTCTGGAAAATTATCAGAATCTCAGCTTGTAAAACACAAAAGGTACAACCTGAATATTCTTCCAGTTTAATAAACACTGAACAAAAACTGATCATGCTTCAAAGGACTCTAGATTGTATTAATTTACTTAACCTGTAAGCCCTATGATTTAGCAATTTATAAACAATGATTTACTGTTACTTATTTTTAAATTGACAATGTGTTGACATTTATACACTTAGCAATCTATAAAAAGTAAATAAAACCATTGGTGATTTAAAATGGAAAGCTTTAGTTTGATTAATGCATTAAAGGATTTCCCTACCTCAAGAGAACAAAAAAGAAGTGAAACAAATGTCGGTTCTGTGGCCCAGCTCTAACCTCAGCTTAAACCCACTCCAGACAGAGGAGACTCACCTATAAGTGCATCGAACAATCTAGTTCATTTATTGATGCTAAAACTGAAATGGAATATGGACAGTTATTGGGTCTCATTAAGATTACAAGACTCTAGGACTTGTATTCAGAGTCGAACTCAGGATAAAAGCAATCCAATAGTCTATCTTTGATGTACAATATCAAAAGAGTTATCAGCAGAGTAGGCTTCTTTGACATCCTCCAAATAGTAATCTGTACCTCAAACCACGCTGAAAGTCCTTAATAATTATACTACAAAATTATGGCATTATCACCTAAAGTGATTTTAAGTTATATTTCTCCCTAGTCATCTTTGCAGTGACTTCTATAATGCCATACTCTAGGGCATACGGCAATGTTTTACTTGTCCTCTCTTTCTGTCTTTTTAAGCTCAAGGAATGACCTTAGTTAAATTTTATAGCCTTGGGTAAACTGGTTTACAATTTTAAGCCATAGGTATAAACACTCGTCTTTTATCTTTTTAAGCTAAGAATTAGTAAACTTTTTCGGCCTTTATATTTACTTCACACACTTTGATAATTTGGGTTGTTCTGCTCTAGTATAGTAAACAGAACTGCAAAGTAGAAAACTGATACAGATACATTGTGATCTATGCTAATAAAAAATTAAATTCCTGTCTAATTGTACATCACCACATTTTATGAAAAGAGGTAGTCAGCTGCTCTCAAATGCAGAGGAATATTCTGTGTGACCTGATCTAAATTATAGCATATGTATGGAAAACACATAAAATTCTCCTTTCTGGTTCTTGGGTTCCATGAGGGGGATAAGCATCCATCCAGCTCCGAGGGACAGGTTGAAACTGAGGCACAAGATAGGACTTTATGTCTATCTGGACTTTATGTCTATTCTGTTATCAACAGAACATGCAATTACATAACAATATGACAAGGGCAGAGGGGAAAAAAACCCTCAGTAAATTCAAATATGACTCCAAGTCCAAAGTAATGCAAGCAGATACTGATATTTGGGTGTCAATTCTCAAATACATGAGCAAATCTATGTAGCCTTTTATAGAGTAAGTTACAGAAAAGACATACAGGTTTTATTAATGATTCTCTCAGGGAACACCTTATAGTTCTGAGTTTTTTATAAAATCAGGACAACATTCTCTCTTTAGTTCTTAAAACTCTTTGTTTTGATGTTCAGTATTTGGAACAAGCAAGGGATTTTCTGTGGGTCTTAGTCACACCCGAATTTATGTCTCTATGGAAACATGCAAAATGACATCTAGAGTTTATTTCAATGTTGTACCTTTTGGCTTTATTTCATCATTCTATGAAATTCATTTGTTCTTTAAAGATATTAGCATTAAAGTAAAATAGCATGTCTGCATCTGATTTTGGAACTATACAAACCTAGAATATTCTATGAAGAATCCTTTCATCCTTTATGAAAGATATTACTAAGAATAAGTAATTATTAACTGTTGCTATTGAATCTAAGTCAGGTTCAGAATTAAGATACAGTAAGAAAAATTTATAACTATATAAAATAAAGTTGTATTGGAAATATTTTAGCAACCAGAACAAACAATAGTAATTAATTACTTGCTTCTATCTCCAGAAAAACTTCCTAACATATAGGGGGACTGTTTTCATACCAAATAAAAAAGACATACATTCAATGATAATCACATTTACAGAGAAAACATCCTATTAAAGCAGAATATTAGAAATGTCTGAGTTAGTGTATCTACTACCCTGTTAGGTAGATACAATTTATAATCATATATTATTAACGGGGAAAATGAGGTATAGAGAAACTAAGTACTTTGATCCAGGTCCCACAACTAGCTAGTGGCAGAACCAGGATTTGAACTCAGTAGTCTGGCTCCAGACCTTTTGTTTTTCACCATTACCCTATACCAAGTTCTCTGTATAGCACCTTGTTCATAGAAACAGTTGTGGGGCTACAAAAGGTGAATCAGGGCACAGAATAGGTAGAGATCAGGGATAGAAATACAGTTTAAGGGATTCTCAAATACCCAACCATATAATTAATACAGCAAATGAGAATAATTCTATAGTTAAGCTGTAGGTCAATAGTTTGACAGACATTAATACAATTATACAATTTAAGTTCCTATTACTGCCAAAAATGGGACCTACGTGTGGAATGTGACAGATGATTTATTTTTTAACACAGTGGTTGGCATATTTAAAACTCCTAAGTTGTAGAAAATACAAAATTCTTTGTATGTGTTATCTCACACAGTCCTGACATTCTAACTGCAGAACCTGCCCTCTAAACCACAGCACTGTAAATTATAGCCTTTCCTTTCCTGTTGTAGCTTCTATCACACACTGTACTACATGTTCCTTATGGGTTAGAACTATGTCTTGTTCTTTACTGTAACCTCAGTATGGATTTGGCCCTCCATTAATATCTGTTGTATGAATTAATGAATAAGAGAACGGGAAAGTTTATTTTCTTCTAGTGCTGATGAATTACAGCATATTTACATCTTACATATACAAAAGGACTATGGAAGAACACACTTTCATGCTCATAAATATTTAAGTTATTGACTCAAAAATACCGTCACTGACCTGAGATACACATAAATCCAGAAGAGAAAAAGGCTTCATTGTATGAAGACAAGTTGTCAGTCTGGGCATAGACAGCGTACACAGACATGTGTGAACAGGCACATTCCACATAGTCTGAAGTGTCCTCGACCACTTTGCAAAATTGACTGTCAGACAGCCAGCTAGGACAAAAACACAATAGTCACTACCCCTCTTTCATAGATACTTAGGGTGTTGAGATGGCTTTTAAAGAAAAAGAATAACTTGATGAACTTAAGTGTTCTTTACTCAAGAAGACCACATTTTTGAGAAGAAATACAGAAGGGAACATCTTGTCCAGGCCATGATATAACAGATTCCACAAGACATCTTAAGAAGCAGTCTAAATACCAACCAAACCTGCCAAAGCATTCCCGGTAACAAAGACGCTGGTCCTCTCAACAGAGCAGTACCTAAAGTTTCTACCTAACCTAAAAGGTTTCACCCAAGGTTTTCAATGGAAGGCACACTTCTCTACCATTCAAAACTCCCAAAAGATCAACATAGCCATAATGTATGTAGTGTTCACTCTTCATATCTTTTCCCAAGTCCTTGTGTTCTGAACCACAGAATTTATTTGTTTGCTTTTCTAAGATTCCTTCCTCATTTTTTTTCTACTTTGGAGTCACTTATATATATGTTTTCCAACATTATTTCAAGTGTTTCCATCTATAAAGTCTGGCTAATTTACCACCAAAACTTGTCATGATTTTAGCAAACGCAGTGTCACATGCCAAGCCTTCTGAGTATTCCTTAGTGATGACTGGTTTGCACCTCTTCCCGTTTAGTGCCTCTTGATTTCTTTACTTTTCTAGGACATTAAAACTTCCTAACCCAAAATTCAGATTCAAGCTTGAAACATTGATTATTAACTATACATTGAGGATTACAGAGTATCTATGTATTAGGTTTAAGATCTGTCATTAGGCAGTAGGAATTGAATTGAATTTTTTTTCACAGAGAAAGAGACTAATCAGAATTTTAGCGTTCTGGACAACAGTTGGTTACCCAACTAAGCTATTAAACCTATTTAAAATGTTAGCTTGTGCAGCTGAAATTCAGTAATAAATGACTAGCATGGACCCTAGAACCTCTCAGCCAGCACAGCCTGACCCTGCAGCATTGATTGGGCTCTGAGTGACAGTAGCTGTTCGGAAACTTGAGGTCTCAGGCTGAGGAGATTCAAAGGAATAATCACTCTCTCCTTCCCATTCCCATGCGTGGCTTTAATCCAAAAATGTACTCCAAGCCATCTGCGAACCAGAATTAAAAATCCCTGTTGATCCCTTTAAACACAGAGGATCAGCTCCAGACCACAAGGCTAGATAGAAGGGGAAAAATGGAGGAATTTCCTTCCCTACCCCACAGATTAACTGATCACCTCGGGAAGGTTATCTGAATTGAGCAGAACTCATGCTACATCCCATGAAAGTCTTAGTAATAAAAATGTAAATAATGTGCTACGCACATATTTAAACTGTTGGCTGCATTTGCCATCTGTGAAATGCTGGACCATTTTCTATGCTGCTTCATCTTATTCATCGCAGAGGTTATTCTCCAGACTAACATCTCACCTGAGGCCACCAGCTATGCTCAGTACAAACCATCAGGCTCAGTGATAGCGGAATGGGGAAGGACCAAATTCTGATTTTAAAAATTACCTTGCAGCAGCCTGATTCCAAAGGAGACACAGAGACGTCTGAGGAATAATTCTAGACTCGGTAGAATAAATCCTGTAGCGAACCTCATTGTTGTTAGTCAGGAGTTGTGAACTCTGACCTTTCACACTCAAAGATAATACCTATAAGGTCAAAAGGAACAGAAAATTTAATGACATTTTCCAATAGTATTATAGCGGAGTCTCCCATTCTGAAACTTGACTTTATTTTTCTGGTAACTGTAGCCATTTGTTTTCTCCCACTATTAGTTGTTAGCTCACTTATGAATGCAGAGTGTCTGATTGGTTTTCCACTGTGCACTTTCTACCTCCACATTAGTTAGTCACTCAGCAGTCTCCCGCTGATAACTCACTTTGGCTGACTTCCTCAGGAGTTAAGCATATAATAAGATACCGTATTAGTGAAAGCTATGTTTTTTTCACTTTCCCCACTTTTATATATATTTTACTCAATAAAACATGAAGGAAATATTTCCAACTCCTTTTGAAACTAAATACTCTATGAATAGCTCATAAAGATGGAACATATTTCATATTAGTTCACCATGTGTAGCACTTACCAAAAATCTGATCAAGCAAATGCATTGAGTGTGTTTGCTAAAAAAAAAAATCAGATTCCAACCACAAATTTTTAAATGATAGATTACCTTATTTTTCAGTGCAGGAAGACTGTTTCCAGTTATAAACCACTGCTGGCTGCTATACTCTGTGAACTGGACTAATTTACATGTACTTTTCTCAGCCATTATTTCTGCATCTGGGACATCCAATAATCTCTCTGGAACTCGAATATAATCTCCTTCCTTTCCTTCAAACTTGTGCCCGTTGATTTGCTGAGGATACCAGTGAAGAGCCAATATTGACAAATACGGGCAACTGTCAAGGATGGTTTTGCTTCTACAACAGAAAAGAGCAAAGGTCTGCTACAATGGCATGTGTTTGCACAAGTTTATCCATGTATGTTTGTTAAAATGCATTATACTGAGACTTTATTCTTTATGTACAACAATGACTCTACCAACCCAAAGCAGTAAATAGAATGTGCCTTCATTTCCTTTATGGTTAATTCTCAGGATTTTTTGTATAGAACTTTCTGCATCTTCTTGCCTAATTCTCCTTGTAACATAAAACATGGGCTTTTGAAAGCTGTTTTATGGATATCAACATACAATCTATAGCTATAAAATGTACTTTTCTGTGTTAGTCACATAAGCATTGGAGGAACAGGTCGAGGAAAGGGCGTCCTCACTGAACTGAAACCTTGTGCTTTACTTAATAACATTGTAAGCCTATATATAGAGCCATGTTTTCATCCAGAGTTACCTCATGTCTTTCTAACACATCAGAGCACTGCTGACCATTTAATATAACAAAAACAGCCCTAAACAGTGATCTTTATTCATTTAACAATTTTGTTTTGAAGATCTCCTAGGCAAAATAAGATCCTGTTCTCAGTGAAATTGCTTCCAAACTCCTGTGTGTGTTGAAATCACTTGGAAGTTGTTTTAATGTACAAATTTCTAGATTATGCCCCAGACTGACTAAATCAGATTCCTTACCCAGGGAGGGGGTTGGAGGTTATAGGAATTTATGTTTGTAACCAGTCTCCCAGATAATCTGATGCAACCTTTTTATGGACCTATCACGTTTGCAAACCATGAGACCATACATAGATAAATTGGACTGAAATCTGCCTGAAAAAGTGTAGAGAATATTAAAATATCAGGATAAAATTTATGCATTAATGTTAACAAGTATATGGGCCACAACAGATGTAGAGTATATATAATTATATCATGGATCTAAATGATACCTTGTCAAAAGCCCCCGACCTAGGAAATGGAGTAGAGAATTTTAATTTGAGAAAGGAAAAGAAAGGGTAAGGGCCAACTTTTTCCTCTATCTCTATGTCCTAAAAAAACATCTTCCATAACTTTAACTACCACATTCGAATTGGTGCCTTCAAAGATCTATCTTTAATCTTCCCACTCCCCCATGGCTCTAGGTCCCTGTGTTCAAGGCTTCTATTCAATGACTTCGATTTATACTGGCCGCATATATCTCCACAACAGCTTGTCAAAACTCATCTTTTAATCTCCCCTCTGCCACCAGACTTCCACATCTTCACCAAAATCTGCCACTGCAGAGCCCCTGGCCAGGCACAATGTGCTGACACCAGTGACCCTCAGCCACATGGCTCCACACCGCTTTTCCATCCTGCCACCCGGAATCTACTGAGATTCAGGCCATTCGGTGCCATCACAGACTCCGCTGTCTTGGCAAACCGAGACGAATACCACATGCACGGTGACTCTGCCCAACCTTGACACGAGCGTGCCAAGTTCCTGGTCTTTCTTTCTTGCTGATAACCACACTCTCCCTGACACCTTAATCTCCTATATGTATGTCCTTCAAATGCACTCGTCTGGATCAATCCCACAATCTGCTTTCTATCTAGGCTGAAGTGAAGGGAAAGAAAAACCCCACATTAACATGTAGACTGGCATCACTATAAATCCATAATGACCAACCTCAGTTGGACCCTCAATGACACTTGGCATTGTTTTTACTTGACTTCCAAGTGACTGTTCTAGATTCCATCATTCTCCTCAGTCTCCTTGCTCAATTCTCAAACACTTCACTTTTAGTAGATGTCCTTGATACTGCTTAAGACATGTATAAATAATACATATCAGAATGCTCAACATCTTTAGAGTTTCCTCATTAAACGAACTAGTCTTGATCTCTTTCTTATTTTCTATGTTCAATTTGTCACTAGCATGTTAATTCTACCACCTAATTACCTTCAAGGTGCCAGCCTTCTATGTCACTGCCTCAGTTTCAGCCTTCATCTTCTCGTACCTGAGCAGTTATCCCCTATGTAGTCTTCTTATTTCTTGCTTTGCTCTATTCTTTAACCTTTAATACTTTCCTCAATGTCTCTAAAATCCTAAGCCTGATTCTTTCACACACACACACACACATGCACTCACACCCTACCTAATTTAATCTATGTTCAACCTTTGAAAAACTGATGATATCTCCAAACACATCATGCTATTTCTTGCCTGATTGCCATTGTACATGCTGTTTCCTTTTCCTGGACAACTCAAAGGTAAAGGTAAGTCGATTTAAAGGAAGCACATGACAGAAAATGCACTGATTCATTTATTAATTCTATCCATGCATTACAGTATAATCACCGAGAATCTGCCATGTGCCAGACACTGTTCCAGGCTCTGGGAATACATTTGAAAACAAGACAGAACACCTTTTTGTGCATCTTACATACTCTTGAGTTTTCACTGGGCCTTTGAGGGCATAGATATGGGACTCAACATGCACAGTGGGGTAGATGGTTCACCTCTAAGACAACCTTGATATACTGGTGATCTTGCAGAAACATGGAAAAACAAATGAAAAAGAATGGGATTATGGGAAATGTAGTGCTATCAAATAACATAGTTGAACATAGTTCAAGAGAGGAAAACAGTAACAGGTATTTCTTAAATACACACACACACACACACATACACACACACACACACACACACATACACACACTGTGGCCTCAGTGCAAACTTACCTGAACCAAAAAAATGATCCATTTCAGAAGTTTCAGAAAACAGCATTAGAGACATTTATAAAAGGCATTAAGGAGCTGAACTACTAATTATTGGTCTCAGATGGACATTTAGAAGCCGTGGTGAGGATTAGAGAAGGGGCCTTCTGAGAGGGGGCTCCTGTAAGGCTTTTCTGATGCTTTGCTGATTTTCCACACTAAGAAAACTTCAATTCCCAGGACTCACTTATAAGGGTTAAAGGAAGAGTACAGTATAAGGAGATGTTGGTTCTGTACCTTAACCTGAAGTCACACTCTAGCACTGATCTGGGCTGAAAGTCTGGGGCACTTTGGAGCCACAGGGCTGGAGGGGGAGGTTTTCAGACAAAGCAGGTGGTTACAATCTATTCTGACCACACAGTATAGTGGCCAGTAGGGGCTATAGAGTCAGGTAGGCCTAGGATTGAGGCCAGGCCTCACAGAAGACTGTGTGATCCTTGGCTAGCTGTGTAAGGCTCCTAGCCTCAGTTTCTACATCTGTAACAGAAATACTAACAGCCCTAACTCTAACCTTGAATAGCTACTTAAAATGGTCTTTCGTAAGGGCAAAATAATATGTACAACTTTTAGCAAGAATTAGGTTGAATCATGAAATTTTCAATATTATGCTGTTTTTACCTACAAAAAAGGCAATTCGTATTATTCAATTTAATACAATGTTAGGACTACAGCAGAGATACAGTTAATTTCATTTATATTATTATTATTATTTTATCCCTTGTTCTGTCTTGTAACCCCTTTAGATCCTTTGAACTTCATGTGTCTTGTGACCTAAGAACTAACATTAAAAGTTTCACATAGCTAACTGATTTTTTAATTAACCTGTCAGAGTTCATAAAAAGCCCCATAAATAAAGAGATCATTTAAATTATTATACAAGATTTCTTAAATGTAGTCTTCAAATGTTCCTGAATTTCAGTGCTACTTTATGAACACTGATAACAGCAATCATGGAAAATATATAATAAAATTTATAGTTTTA